GAATGGTGCCTTTTTATAAATGAGCAAAACCATGTGATACAACCATAATTTTTGGCATAAGTGTGCTTTTGCCAGTTCCCAGCTGCTACGGTGCTACTTAAAGGCCACGTATATTTCCTTAAGACAGAGTTTCTCAGCTTTGATACGATGTACATTTTGGGCTAGATTATTCTTTGCTCTCGAGACTGTCTTGTGCACTGTAGGATTTTTATCAACATCTCTGGTCTACTTACTGGATGCCACCTGCATCCTGCCAGTCATAACAACCCAAAGTGCCTCCAGACATGGTCAAAGTTTTCTGTGTGTTGTTTGTGTGTGTGTGTTGAGTTGTTTGGAAATCACCACCCTCTCAAGAACTGCTGCCTTAATATACTTAGCCTCTACCTACCCCTAACTGGGGAGATGTCCTTGTGTCTTGGCTATGAAACAAAGATGTGTGATCATGGATACTACAATAGGATCTGCCTTTTTAATAGCAATGATAACATATCTAACATCTTCTAAGCATTTATTGTGCCAATGATGCTAAGCACTTTACCTATATTCTGTCCTCAGACACAGAGAGGTAAGGTGCTGCTAATATCCCTGCTTTTCAAACTGAAGCATAACAGGTTAAGTGACTTGCCCAAAATAAAACATTTTCTATTATTATTTTAGTTTTTTTAAATTATGGAAGTATGATAATACAATAGCAGGAGACTTGAAAAATCCAGAATTATTATCATTTTTGGCCACACCACATGGTATGGAGGATCTTAGTTCCCCGACCAGGGATCAAACCCATGCCCCTGCAGTGGGAGCGTGGAGTCCTAACCACTGGACCACTGGGGAAGTCCCGAAGGTCTCACGTTTTCTAAATGGTGGAGCCAGGTCTGTCTGACTCTAGACCTCATGTCTTTGGCCCTTGGATCCACTGTCCTGCCACCTGATTCTGTCACTGCTCACCTCACATCCCTCGGTGGACACAGTGTGTCTCCAGACCCCCGTCTGCGCACCTAGCTCCTCCCACATTCCCACCCCAGGCTGTTCTCCCCACCCTGTGCTCCACCGTCCCTCCACCCCCACCCATCAGAACTCCCCCCAGTGCTGAAACACTTCAGACCTTCAGGCCTTCCCTTTGGGCTGTTCTCTTAGCCCAGCTGGTCCTTCTCCCTGTGCTCAATCTGAAGCTCAACTTTAATACCCAGTTGTGACAGCTGCTGCTCTCTAGAACAGGGGTCCCCTTCCCCTGTTGTACGTACAGGTCTGTGGCCTGTTAGGAACCGGTGAGTGATGGGTGAAACTGAAACCAACCCCCCGCCCAAGAATCTCTACTCTTCAGTCCACAGAAGGGTAGCCTGGCTCTGTCTTGCCCGTTTTTACCCTCAGACACTCTCTTTATGCTGCTCTACCCCTAAGACCTCTTGTGTGTCGCTCCAAAGCACTGCTCTCATTCCTGGAAGATGCTTCTCTGTGAGGCCTTGAGAAACGCCGTGGGATGGTGCGCCAGCACAGGCTGCCCATGCAAGGAGCAGTCTCACAATTCCCTTGCCGTAGATCCTGGTGGACTCCAGCTGCCCTTCCTCCTGGAACATGGTTCTGAGTCCTCCCCCACCGCTTCCCAGCTGCCCTCCTCTAGCAGTGCCCAAGATTACTGTGTTGCTCCTAAGGCCCAGCCTCAGAGCTGGATGCAGGATTACGAGGGTGGCCGAAGTTGAACCCTGGGGGCCTGAGCAGACTCTACATCCCCAAACCCAGACACTCCAGCTGTTAATACCACCTAGAATTATAGTGACATTCTTGGTCTCTGAACTTAGTTGGATCATTGCACTAAGCCCTCTCAGTCCTAGTTGCTCTTGTTCCTTAATCTTCTGATGTCCCGTATTTATGATTAGTTTCAAAAACTCAAATGTAAGGCATAGTTCTGGAGTCAGGCATCCCTGGATTGAATCATGGCCCTAGCACTCATGAACTGGGAGACTCCACTTGAAGTCACTACCATAAGTTACAAGCCACTTAACGTCTTTTTTTTAAATATAAATATTGTAAATACTCTTTTTCTTTACTTTTAAAAAAATCTTTATTTATTTATTTGGCTGTGCCAGGCTTTAGTTTCAGCACTCAGGATATTTAGTGGCAGCATGTGAACTCTTGCTTGCAGCACTCGAGAACTAGTTTCCGGGATAGAACCGAGGTCCCCTGAATTGAGGGGTGTGAAGTCTTAGCCACTGGACCACCAGGGAAGTCCCAAGCCATTTACTTGCTGTGTGCTTCTTTTCCTCCATCTATGAAACACAGATGACAGTATTCACACCATAAGCTTTGTTGTTGTTCAGTCGCTCAGTCATGTCCAACTCTGGGACCCCAAGGACTACAGCACGCCAGGCTTCCCTGTCCTTCACCATCTCCCTGAGTTTGCTCAAACTCATGTCCATTGAGTTGATGATGCTATCCAACCATCTCATTCTCTGTCATCCCCTTCTCCTCCTGCCTTCAATCTTTCCCAACTTCAGGGTCTTTACCAATGAGTTGGCTCTTCGCATCAGGTGCCCAGAGTATTGAAGCTTCAGCTTCAGCATTAGTCCTTCCAATGAATATTCAGGGTTGATTTCCCTTAGGATTGACTGATCTGATCTCCTTGCAGTCTAAGCGACTCTCAAGAATCTCCAGTACCACGGTTTGAAAGCATCAATTCTTCAGCTCTCAGCCTTCTTTATGATCCCATTTCACATTTGTACATGACTACAGGAAAAATTATAGCTTTGACTGGACAGAACTTTGTCAGCAAAGTGATTCTGCTTTTTAATACACTGTCTAGGTTTGTCAGTAGCTTTTCTTCTAAGGAGCAAGCATCTTTTAATTTCATGGCTGCAGTCACCACCCACAGTGATTTTGGAGCCCAATAAAATAAAGCTCATCACAACATGAACTTGATGAGGATTAAATGAGATAAGACATGCCAAGCGCTTGCACAACACCTGTCATATAGCAAGTGCCAGTAAGAGGTGATGGTGAGGATGATTATGGTGAACTGTGTTTTCACCTGGGTCAAGTCAGGAGACCTGGGTCTCTGCCTTACCATGCCACTGTCACGCTGTGTCACACTCAGGACATTTTGAGTCAGAACCCCAGTGGCTTGAGGATGGGAGGATTTTCCTGAAAAACATCTGGGGCTGCCACAGCTCTTTATCTTGATCCCAGAGAGCCCTCTAGTGGCTGATCTGGGAATGTGCAGGCGCAGGAGACAAAGGGAAGGAGGGACCTGGTAGGGAGAGTGGTGGGCTGGGTAGAGAAAGGCTCCGCAATTACAAGAAGAGCAGGGAGTTTTCTACAGAGACCCCCAGTCTGGGGTTAGACCTGAATATGGTCTCACTACTGTGAAGTGCTACCTGTGGGACTTCAGATCCACCCCTTCTGCTCTGCAGGCCTCGGGGTGAGGAGCGTTGGGAATGATGATAAACTGGCTCCGTGTTTCCCAGAGGTGATTTAGGGGACCCTGCATAGCCATTTTGAAAACCGGGATGTTTATGTGTTTTCATGTGGTGCTAGGAAAATTAGTAACTTTCACTTCTTTTCATCTATGGATATTATCCTTTTAGAGAAGTGAGAAGTGAAATTGCTCAGTTGTGTCCCATTCTTTGCAAACCCATGAACTGTAGCCTGCCAGACTCCTCTGGCAATGGTATTTTCCAGGCAAGAATACTGGAGTGTATTGTCATTTCCTTCTCCACAGCAATCTTCCCAACCTAGGGACTGAACCCAGGGCTCCTGCATTGCAGGCAGACTCCTTACTGGCTGAACCACAAAGGAAGTCCAAAAGTGAAAATGAAAGCCCCTCGATCATGTCCAACTCTTTGCAACCCCATGCACTATACAGTCCACTGAATTCTCCAGGCCAGAATACTGGAGTGGGTTGCGTTTCCCTTCTCCAGGGGATCTTCCCAACCCAGGGATCAAACCCAGGTCTCCCACATTGCAGGCAGATTCTTTACCAGCTGAACCACAAGGGAAGCCATATCCTTTTAAGGTGAATAAAAATATTTTTAAAAATCTAAATCTAAAAGAAAAATATTAAATAAACAATAGAATAGGTGTCATTTTATCAGGATCAAAATCATAAAAGTAAAATCAAAAGGCAACAGAAAAATGGGCGCCGCTGGGCTAGATTCTTTGTGGTTTCCTGCACCGTTCTGATAAGCTAATCTTATCTTCATACTATACCTGGTATTGTTCCCTAGCATAAGGGTCACCATTTATTGTTTATGCTGCTATCAGCTCTTTGATCTTCTCTCTCAGAATAGGGGTATTATTTACTCTTCATTTTACTGACCAGTGAGAGGCCCGGTTGTACTTGCCTGAGGCCACGTTACGGTGTGGCAGAGCTGGTTTGGAAGTGAGCCCATTGGATGCCCAAGCCACTGTCTTCTGTAGTACCACCCATGGGCATGCCTTCTTTGCTTACCTGTGCTGGGAGCCCAACAGCAGGGACTGGACCCTCCAGTCTCAGTGATGGGCCAGCAAGGCCTGCAAGGACCAGGTTGCCTGGTGACGTTCACATCCAGCTGGGCCTTGAGGTGAGCTGTGGAGCTGTGGCCACAGGTGACTCTGGGAATCAGGGGACTGGCCTCCCAAGACCTGTGATATTAAGTCCCCTCAGCCTGGCCACTGCGATGTGGTGCCAAGGGTGCTGGCCAGAGGTCAGCAGTCCTGAAGTCTTGTCCTGGGCCTTTCATTCACTGTTCTTTAGCAGACTTGTCCACTCACTGTGCCCCGCTGTGTCAGAACTAGAGGTGGTTTTTCAAACAATGTCCTAGGCCCTACCCTCAGAGGTTCTGATTTTGTATGTGTGGGTAGAACTCAGGGATCTTCAGTTTAGCCATTTTTCAAGGGAATCATGGTGCTTAGTGACCTCTGGGGTCCCTTCCAACCCCCAGACTCCATGAACCTTAGCTTGGAATGGCCGGTAGACCCTTGTGACCTTCCCCTGAGCCAACCCCAAACAGCCTAGGGAACAAAGAAAATAACAGTAAAAAAGATATTTTATTGTTAAAAAAAAAAAACCACAACAACAGATGAGCAATGAAACCAGGCACTCCATCATTCACGCTCACAGTCACCCGTTCAGCCGCAAACCACACACACAGACACCCTCTCACCCACACAGCTCCCTCTAGCTGTAAGCAGCAGCCTCATGGGTAAGAGTCACCATCTCTCTTCCTTTTTACTTTTGTGTCCCTAAACAACACACATGAAAAAGCAGTGGACCAGAGTGGCAGGGGAAGGAGTGGCCAGGCCACCAGAAGCCTCTGGTCTCTCCCACTCCTGGCTACATACATTCTGCACATGTGTGCACACGTACTATACATGGGCGCCCATGTGTGTAGACATGCGCCCACACTGACCCTCCATGCATAGGGTTGAGTCACTGCAGGTAATACTTGGACTGGCAGGCCTCTGAGACAGAGGGGGCAGGGGAGGACCCTCCTGGTGTCTGACTCCCTGCTGCCTCCCTTCCCTGCGCAGGAGTTGACTTCCTTGTGTCTAGGGAAGAAAAGTCCCTATGGGGCAGCTCATCCAGACAGCAAGGTTGAAAAGTGCCTAAGAATTATTTCAAACATGAAGAATCGTGCCCTTCTTGCCTTTGGCCCAAAGTGCTTGCGAAACTTGGGCTGAAGAGCCCAGAGTTTCATGAGGTCTGAATTCTTTAACAAAGACGGTTCAGGGCTGCACAGATCCTGGCCGGCCCTGGCTGGTAGAAAGTCACATGGCTTAGAAAAGGAGGGACAAGGTGCTTGGAGTTAGATTAGAGGAGTGGGACCATCAGGACTGAGGCCAAGTGATGCCGGTGGAGAACCCTCGTCACCGAGGTTCATCTTCTTACCCCCGATGCCTGGCAGGCAGGGTGCACAGGTGACATTTGGTAGCTGCTCACCTGCTGCTCACCTCTCAGCCCCTTGGAGAGCCCCTGTTGCTTCGCAGGGTTTGTGACCTTGGACCTTGTCTCTACAGCAGGTGTGGTGCTTGCCTGTGAGGCACGGGCCCGCCGTGGCCTGCAGAGCGCAGCTGCGGGCAGGTCTAAGAGTGTGCCCGTCAGGGTCGGCCCACTAGTTCAGGCTCTGGATCCCTGGGGACCATTGGGGGACCCACTGCCTCTTGCCTATCCCAGGAGCCAGTTTTTCCTGGGTTTCCAGGGTAACGGCTCTGGGCACCCCCTTTCTGCTGGGAGCCCTGGTGCGGTGTCTGGAGCTCTACCCTCAGCTTCCCTCCATCCTCAGGGACCAGCTGGGGGTCTGCAAGAGCACATTTCAAGATTTGGCAGCTTGGACTGGGTATGGGGGCTTCCCTCCCTCTTTCCCAGCCATGCTCAATTCACTCCCCACCAGACGGGGGTAGGTGTCGAGTCCTCAGCCTCCCGCCTGCCTCCCTCTGAGGACAGCTAGAACATGACCTCCTCACAGCTCCCATAATCACTCTCCACCATGTCAGAGCCCTCATAGTTGGGGGGGGCCTGGGGCTGGCCCCGGCCCATGGGGTGCCCACCCCCAACCTCGCAGTCAGCGTAAGAGGGCCCGGCCCGGCTGAGGCGCATGCTCACCCCTTTGTAGCCCCCTTCTGCCAGGCAGGGCCCTCCCCCTCCCTGCTGGAACTGCGAGTGGTAGTAGCTGATGGCCGTGTACTCATTGAGACAGGGAGCCGGCAGGTGCTCCCGGGGACTGGGGGGCCGTGGGGGGATCAGATCTTCCAGGTTCTGGTTGCTGTAACGGGGTGGGAGGGGTGCTCGCTTGTTTTCCAGCTCCAGTGGGAAGGGGAAGCCCCCGTAGAGGCCACTGGGGTCCGGCATCACGGCTGGGTTCTGGTGGCAGTGAGGAGATGGTTGCAGAGGGCCAGGGGTGACTTCGGAGTGGGGGTATTCCCAGCGTTCCTTCCTGGAGTAAGTTGGGGGCCAGACCGTGGCTCCTCCTGGGTACACTGAAAGGGAACACATGATAGGGTGAGCCCTGAGTCTCCCTGGTGAAGGTTCTAGCTAGCCTTAGAGCTAATGTACATGACTTAGCATGTGGCAGAGAGGAGCCAAGGAGTCAGTGGGTATGTGGCCCATCTGTGTGTCTTGTCTCTGGCAGCTTATATTAATATCTAGAATTCAGTGGGGCCAAGTTGAAAGCCAGAGGTTTAACTCAAAGCCAGCCCATTTTGCAAATCTGTGCCACTGCTTCAAGGGTGAGTGAATAAGGGAAGAATCTGAATGGCTCCATGCAGCCAACTCCCATTCCTGGAGACAGCAGCTCCATCAAAATCCTACTGGTGAGTTTTGTCTCCATAGTTGAGGGAAACAAACATGTCTTTTGGACTAGGAGATGTGATGGTGTCTATCACAGGGGGTGATTACATGAGATGTGGCTTGGAAGCTTGGTGGTCAGGCATCCTTGGTCCTACCTCTGTCCCTGGTCCTGAAGAGTTGGGAGGGTTACAACAAGTCACTGTTTCTTTATGGGTCCCAGTTACCCTATTGGCAGACAGTTAATGCCAATAGCTGTTGAACTATTAGTAAGCTTGGAAACATAAAGTACTTTACAAATTCACCCCCTTTTGAGCTGAAGGTGAAAGGAGGGTGAAGATTCCTCCTTGGGGTGAGCCAGGTCTGGCCCAAGGCTGCTCTACCTCTAGACTGGGTGGCCAGCCAACTGGACAACTGCCTCTCTCTCTCCCTTTCCAGAAAAGTGTAAATATATATGTAAGTGAGTTAAAGTCACTCAGTCATGTCCGACTCTTTGTGACCCCATGAACTATACAGTCTATGGAATTCTCCAGGCCAGAATACTGGAATGGGTAGCCTTTCCCTTCTCCGGGCAATCTTCCCAACCCAGGGATCAAACCCAGGTCTCCTGCATTGCAGTCAGATTCTTTACCAGCTGAACCATCAGGGAAACCCAAGTAAATATATACAGAAGCTCCCGTTTAACCCTATGGATCCTCCCCACCCCATTCCAGGGTCTGTGGGTTTCTGCCATGAACGTCTTAGAAAACTAATATTAGAAAGAGCTAATCCTGTGGAGTGACTTGGAATTTAGAGTGCATCACAGTTCAGTGGAATGAAGCATAGACTCTTGAGTCCAGAGGCCTGAAGTCTGGTCCAGCCCACTAGTGCACCCTGACCTTGACCACATCCCTTCGTGGACTGGATGGTGGCTGAAAACCCTCATGTCTCAGATAATGGAGTGTTTCCGTCTACTGCCCTGTTCCATCAATCCCAGAGGCTAACAGCCTGTGGCTATACTGACCCATCTCCTCTCCTGACCATCTCCTCTTAATGATGGCCTCGTTGTCAGGGTGGGAAGAAACCGCAGCTGGCGGGAGTCTGGGAGGAACGCTGCAGACCATGGGCCGTTGCTTAGAGCTGGGTCCAAAGGTGACAAGTTCATTTGGAGCTGAGGTCTTGCCTGGCTCCATTTGGTTCAGGTTATTGCAAGAGCTGGTGTTCAGGGGGTTGAGCTCAATGGCAGGTGTGGCTTGGGTGTCAACACCCACACTCCTGGCCAGGAGATCTGGGTCCTCCATGGCCACGGGCTTGTGCGACTTGCAACGGCGGCAGTAGAAGAGAAGCACCGTGGAGATGACAACGATGACCAGCAGGGCCACTACGATGATCAGAATCTCCTGCTGTCCCCAGTCCCCCCTTGTGATCTCAGGGGTGACGAGACAGTGTCCTTCTGAGCAGCCCCTGGCCTCCATTTCACACCTGTAGGTACAGAGAAATAGAGGACCTGGTCACTATATAGGTCTTTCCATGTCCCCTCTTTATTTATTATTTATTTGACTTTATTGAGTCTTAGTTGCAGCATGCAGGATCTTTCTTTGCGGTTCACAGATTCTCTAGTTGTAGCAGGCGGGCTCTGAAGCACTCGGGCTTAATAGTTGCAGCCTGTGAGCTTAGTTGCCCTGTGGCATGTGGGATCTTAGTTCCCTGACCAGGTGCTGAGAGAAAGGACTTTAAGATAAACATATGGGGGAATCTTGGAGAAGCCCTTTCCTTCTCTGGGCCTCAGTTTCCCCGCCTGTAAAATGGGTGGGGGGACCACATCATTGGATCTCTTACATACACACTGACAGCAGGGGTGGGGGGTCCCTTGGGAGCGTGTTATAAATAGAATCCCAGGCCTCCTTCCTTGGAGATTCCAATTTAATTGCTCCAGGAATCTGTATTTTTCATAAGTCTCCCTCATGATTTTTAAAGCTTTCCAAGTTGGGAAACCATAAAACCAGTGAATTGCCAGAAGCCTCTTTGTGTCTAGTATTCTAAAGGATGATTCTCCTTCCCTGGCAACCGCAGGGCAGCCTTATATGAGGCACAGGTAGCTAGTGGTGGGGTCTGAGTCCACAGTGGAGCCTGTCCCAAGGGGAATCATTGCCCCCAGGCCACTTTCTGAAAAGTCAGGGGCCAGAGCAAGAGAATAAGACCTTGAGCATTTTCAGACTTCAGCATAGACCAGAAGTGCCTGAGGAGCTGGTAGGAAGTAGATTCCTGGGCCCCAGCCTAGTGAGTCCAGTCCACCAGTTTCAGCAGAGGGCCTGGGTGGTCTGTCTTTATAGTGAGCACCTCCCCTCCCAGGGTGTTCTTGATGCAGGTGGTGGGAGGAAGAAGGCCTGACCCCTGGGAGAGGCCAGGTCGCTGGATTACTCAGCCCCTGCTGCCCACTGTCCTCTCTAGGGCTCAGAGGGCAGAGGTGCTACAAACCTCAGGTAGAGGAGCCCACAGCCGGGGGCTTCTCCTGTACTTACCTGTCTCCTGTGTAGGGGTGAGGGCAGATACAGGGGGCTCCCTCGGGGGAGGAGATGCAAGTTCCACCTTCCAGGCAGGGAGTCGAGGTGCAGTTCTCCTTTCTTTGTTCGCAGTGCCTCCCGGAGAACTGTGGGCGGCATGTGCAGATATATCCTGGGAGGAAAGGGCAGGGAGGTGAGAGGATGCACTTGTTTAGTGGTCAGGTGACTGTGGGTGGACTGGTCCTCCAGGATGGAGGGGGACCCCGAGTGTTTGCAGATCCCAGTGTCCACACTTAGTTAATGAGTGCTTCCCTCTGCCACGTGCACTGTGTTGGGCAGTGGTGCTCAGCTGAGCAAGAAGACTTGATCCCTGCCCTCAAACAACTTATAGCCTACAGGGAACATCTGTTAGTCACCTAACAGATGCTAATGGGTATCATCATTGTCATCCTAGACAATGCTATTCAGTGTAGTCACTGTTCAAAGCATCTTCATGTATTAGCTCATCTGATCCACCTGTCGGCTCTGAGATTGCTTGCTGTTATGGTCCTCATCGTTAGTTACTATTATTGTCCTTGCAGCTGGGGACAGGTGGAAGTTGATGGCTGACCAGGAAGCAGAGCATGGGAATGTATGACATTGGCTCAAAGTCACACTGCAAGCAAATGGCAACTTGAGGGATCAAGCTGAGACAGTTATAGATCATATCAGTATATTAGTAATTATTATAAAAATTCATTTTATTGAAAGAAAGTGTTAGGGGAGGGAACTAGCCTAAACTAGGGACCAGGGGAAGTTTCCTGGAGGAGGTGGTATTTTAGTTCAGACCTGAAGGATGAGTAAAAATTAGCCAGGCAAAAAGATAGAAGGCAAAGAGGAAGATGCTTTAAGCAAAGGAGAACGTGTACAGAGACTCAGAGGAGAGGGTATGACATATCACCAGGGGTTAGGGCGGGCGTGAGCCTAGGGAGCAGAGGGGAGAGTGGGAGCAGGGGGGGCTGGCAGGTGAAGCGTCCAGTGCGTAGGAGCCACAGGCAGGAGTAAGATATTGGGACTCCATCTGAATAGCAAGGGGAAGCCACCGCTAGGTTCCAAGCAGGAAAGCGATGTGCCTAGATTTGCACTGTGTAAGGATGGCTCTGGCATCTTGCTGGAAGATGCTAATGGAGGGATGGAAGCAGGAGAGCAGAGAGGTGGCTGGTGCAGAAGAGAAGATGAGAGGTGATGAGGGCTGGGGTCCGACTGACGGCAGTAGGGACACACAAGTGATATCTCCTTGGATATCTCAGGTGGAAACGACAGGATTATCAGTCAGGCAAGCATTCGAAAATGGGAGAGGGCCAAGTGTTGACAGGGACAGAGGTGCTTAGGAGCTCCATGCACTTGCTGGTGGATGTACAGACTGCTGTAGCCATGCTGGACAGCAACCTGGCCTGACTTAGTCAAAGTATTGGTATACTCTGGGTTTGTGAATTTCATGTGTGTGTGTGTGTAAAAGTTCTCATGTAGGTTCATAAGAGGACATGGAAGGATGTTCAGTGCAGCACTGTTGATGGAAGTGGGATGTCCATTGCTAGGAAAGTGGAGAGGGGAAAGGTAAGCACATGCACACCTTGGCAAATTGAGCCAAAATTAAAAGCAGTAGGAGGGAGGTTCAAGAGGGAGGAGACATATATATGCCTATGGCTGATTCATGTTGATATATGGCAGAAACCAATACAACATTGTAAAGCAATTATCCTCCAATTAAAAAAAATAAATTAGAAGAAAGATTTACTTGTGGCAGTGTGGATGGAAGAGTATAAGCATTCAAGCAAGTGAAATATAGTTCATGCATGTTGAAAGGACTCTTTTAAAAACTTTAGGGACCTCCCTGGCAGTCCAGTGGTTAAGATTCCATGCTTCCACTGAAGGGTGAGGGTTTGATCCCTGGTCAGGAAACTAAGATCCCATATGCTGTGCAGTGTGGCCAAACAAAACAAAACAAAAACAAAAACAAACTTTAAATGTTTGCCTATGAGTTTGGGGAAGGGAAAAGGCAGTGGGGTATCAAGGGCAGTAAGAAAGAGAAACTTAGCATGGACCAATGATGACACAGTTGTGTTGACCTCAGCCTTCTACATGGAGGTCCCCATTCACGCCTTTCCTCCATCCAGAAAAACAAGTAGAAAGATAGTTCTTGTTGACGGAGAAAGAAGACTCTTGGCCTCTCCTGGTGTAAACCTAGCCAATCCCACCTCACCAGACAGTAAAGGGAAAGGAGGAATTATTTCCACTGAGATCTGCACCCTTAACCTGTCTCTAACTTCAGCCCCGTGACCTTGGCTGAGTTCCCTTACCTTTCCAGTTATCCCTTCCATAGCACAGTGGTTTCCTGAGTAGTAAAACAGAGCTTTAGTGGCTCTCTTCCCTCCCCCCCTCTCCCTCATGGGGCAGTGTTGGAGAAATATGCTAAGTCAACTCTACAGGGATCCACGATTGCTAGTTCAGTGTGTTAGGGTCCTCTGCAGAGTCTCCTGGGATAAGCCTCGGGGTCAGCCACAGCCTTACCTGCCCCACCAGTCTGCGAGCACTTCCCACCATTGAGACATGGGTTCTGGCTGCACTGCTCACTGGGGAAGCAGCACTCCGTGAGGGCCCGCCTCTCCAGCAAGCCAGCCACCTTCTTGCCATGGACCAGCAGCTCCAGTGCCTCTCCGTTGATCACAACAGCATCCAGGCAGCCTTCAAAGCCCTGGGAGACATTTGGGGAAGAATGCGAGTGGACGAGGCCACCCAGAAAGAGGTCCCTTTCAGGCCTCAGACCCCGGCAGTTCTCTGGGAGCCCGAGGGAGGTGCTGCTTGCACTGTCAACCAACAGGCGGACGGAAGTGTCCATCTCCTCCACCAGAACAGAGTGCCACTCGTGGTCATTCACATGCGACCGGGAGGAAAGATTTCCATAGAAGCCACCTGGGCAGTGGTATTCCAGCTGGAGCACTCCATTGACCAGCTGTAAAGAAAACCCAGATGACCATCAGCAAAACCCGAAGTGCTTAGAAAAACCCTTTCTCAGAAGCTGCTAGTGCAAAGAATGTTAGTGTATTTTTACAGGTAGAAGGGGTAGTGATTTTTCAAGGCTGTATTTTTTTAGACATTGTATTTGTAGAGCATAAAAACCCTCAAAATATACAAGCAACTCCTCCAGCTCAACTCCAGAAAAATAAATGACCCAATCAAAAAATGGGCCAAAGAACTAAACAGACATTTCTCCAAGGAAGACATACAGATGGCTAACAAACACATGAAAAGGTGCTCAACATCACTCATTATCAGAGAAATGCAAATCAAAACCACAATGAGGTACCATTATACACCAGTCAGGATGGCTGCTACCCAAAAGTCTACAAGCAATAAATGCTGGAGAGGGTGTGGAGAAAAGGGAACCCTCTTACACTGTTGGTGGGAATGCAAATTAGTACAGTCACTATGGAGAACAGTGTGGAGATTTCTTAAAAAGCTGGAGATAGAACTGCCATATGACCCAGCAATCCCACTTCTGGGCATACACACCAAGGAAACCAGATCTGAAAGAGACACGTGCACCCCAATGTTCATCGCAGCACTGTTTATAATAGCCAGGACATGGAAGCAACCCAGATGCCCATCAGCAGACGAATGGATGAGGAAGCTGTGGTACATATACACCATGGAATATTACTCAGCCATTAAAAAGAATTCATTTGAATCAGTTCTAATGAGATGGATGAAACTGGAGCCCATTATACAGAGCAAAGTAAGCCAGAAAGATAAAGACCATTACAGTATACTAACACATATATATGGACTTTAGAAAGATGGTAACGATAACCCTATATGCAAAACAGAAAAAGAGACTCAGATGTATAGAACAGACTTGTGGACTCTGGGAGAAGGCGAGGGTGGGATGTTTCAAGAAAACAGCATTGAAACATGTATATTATCTAGGGTGAAACAGATCACCAGCCCAGGCTGGGTGCATGAGACAAGTGCTCGGGCCTGGTGCACTGGGAAGACCCAGAGGGATTGGGTGGAGAGGGAGGTGGGAGGGGGGACCGGGATGGGGAATACATGTAAATCCATGGCTAATTCATTTCAATGTATGACAAAAAGTACTGTAATGATGTAAAGTAATTAGCCTCCAACTAATAAAAATAAATGGAAAAAAAAAAACCAGAACCCTCAAAATTTGCTTCCATTTATGGCCTCATTTGGCCTTTGCTGTTCTCCATGGAATGTCCTGGGCAGAGGTGACATCTCCATTTCACAGATGAGGAAACTGAGACCCAGAGACATCTCATTGGACCCTGTCTTTTGCATTCTTCTTCACAGGCCTCTCTAGTGTTCTACTCTCCTAAGCTTTCAGGGAAACCAAAATCCTCCCCTTCACCCCCAACCCTTATTCAACAGTTCAGCAGTTCTTGAAGTGGATCTCAAAGATTATTTCAGGGGATCCACAAGCTGACAAAGGTGCATATAGTCAAAGCTATAGTTTTTCCAGTAGTCATGTATGGATGTGAGAGCTGGACCATGAAAAACGCTGAGCACTGAAGGATTGATGCTTTTGGACTGTGGTGCTAGAGAATACTCCTGAAGGTCCCTTGGTCAGCAAGGAGATCAAACCAGTCAATCCTAAAGGAAATCAACCCTGTATATTCACTGGAAGGACTAATGCTGGAGCTGAAGCTCCAATTCTTTGGCCACATAATGCGAAAAGCTAACTCACTGGAAAAGACCCTGATGCTGGGAAAGACTGAAGGCAGGAGGAGAAGGGGATGACAGAGGATGAGATGGTTGGATGGCATTATCAACTCAATGGACATGAGTTTGAGCAAACTCTGGGAGATAGTGAAGGACAGGGAATGGTGGTGTGCTGCAGTTCATCACCTAGAGTTGGACACAACTTAGCAATCGAGCAACAACAAAGTGAAACTATTAAGTAGAGCTGGATTAAGTAGAGCTTCCTCTGGGTGAAATGTGACTGGCCATTTGTACACAATCTTGCTGATTTTTGCCCTGGTTGAATACTACATATACCTTTATTAAAAAGAATGCTTAGTATTATTACAGCAAATAGAAAACCAATATAACTTGCCATTGAGGAAAGAGAATGTCAAAAATAAGTACATCTTATGTATGGAGAGAGTAACATAGAAAATTACCATACCATATGTAAAATAGATAGCCAGTGAGAATTGGCTATGTGACTCAGGGAACTCAAACAGGGGCTCTGTGACAGGCTGAAATCTGGGATGGGGAGGGAGATGGGAGGGAGGGGACATGGGTGTACCTATGGGTGATTCTTGTTGAGGTATGACAAAACCACAAAATTTTGTAAAGCAATTATTGTTCAATTAAAAAATTAAAAAAAAATAAGTACATCTTACACAAAACACTGTTATTAAATCACTGCTTTCACTTACCAAAGACCACGACTCCATTGATCCCTCCATTTCTTCACTGTCTCTCCCATCTGTCATGTCCTCATTCCTCACCTTATCAAGCTCAAAGTCCATAGATAAATTCTTTTCCCTTTTTAACTTGGTAGATCTCACTTGGCAAATACACACATCAGGTAAAACTCAGCTTTCCCTCTACTTTGTATAGGTACCATGGAGCTGAACGTGGCCAGGGAGTAACACACAGCCTTTGTTTATCTGTCTCCCTTTAATTCCATGGCCATGAGTCTCAAATGTGTCCTTTGTACTTTCCAACAACTGTACGATTGTGCTGTCTTGGCTGGGCTTCCCTGTTGCCTCAGACAGTAAAGAATCTGCCTGCAATGCAGGAGACCCAGGTTCCATCCCTGGGTTGGGAAGATCTCCCAGAGAAGAGAATGGCCACCCACTCCAGTATTCTTGCCTGGAGAATTCCATGGACAGAGGAGCCAGATGGGCTACAGTCCATGGTTTTGCAAAGAGTCGGACAAGACTGAGTGACTAACACTTTCACTTTCACTGTCTTATTTAGTCTCCTCACTCTCCCAGATGACTATTTTCACTTCTCTCTCCTTAGACCCTTAATGCCTCTCTCCCCATCCTTGCTCTCAGTGACCAGATGGAAACTTATGGGCACGGTCACCATCACATCTGTCCATGTTGTCCAAAGCCAATCTCTCTATTCATGCACTAGATCCCACCCCACCCTTCTTAACCTCGTATATATTGGACAAGAGACCACTGACTATCCTTTCTCCTTCCTGTATCTTTGTTCATTCTCCATTGGGTCATTCCAGTCATCATATAGACATGCTGTTATTGCTCTAATCTTTTAAAAATATATATATATATTTATGTATTTATTTATTTGCCAGGTCTTAGTTGTGACATGCAGGGTCTTGATCTTTGTTGCAGCATGTGGGATCTTTAGTTGAGGCATAAGAACATCTTAGCTCTGGCATGTGGGATCTAGTTCCCTGACCAGTGATCAAACCTGGGTCCCCTGTTTTGGGAGCATAGAGTCTTCGCCACTGGACCACCACGGAAGTCCCTATTGCTCTAATCTTAAAAAAAAAAAAAAAAGGTTTATTGAACCCAAATCTCCTGTCAGATTGCACTTTCTTTATTTGTTTTCCCTTTGTAATAAAATTCTGCTCCTACCCATCATGACGCAGAAACCACTGATGTCAGATTATGCAGCATCCTCTTTGTTGCCAAATCCAATGATTGATATCACTTCGTATTTTATTTGACCTCTTAGCAGAGCATGACTGAGCTGATCACTTAATGCTTCCTTCTCTTTTTATATATAATTTTGTTTATTTATTTATTTATGGCTGTGCCGAGTCTTCGTTGCTGTGCGCAGTTGTTCTCCAGTTGCAGAGAGTGAGGGCTACTCTCTAGTTGCGGTGCATGGGCTTCTCATTGCAGTGACTTCTCTTGTCGAGTAGCACTGGGCTCTAGGGCATGCGGGCTTCAGTAGTTGTGACACATGGGTTCAGTAGTTGAGGCTCCCAGGCTCTACACTGGCTCAATAGTTGTGGTGCATGGGCTTCGTTGCTCTGAGGCATGTAGGATCTCCCCAGACCAGGGATTGAATCCATGTCTCCTGCATGGATTCTTTACCACCAAGCCACCAGGGAAGCACCACTGCTTCCTTCTTAATACAAGCCCTTCATTTGGCTTCCCAGATACAATACTCTGTTCATTTCCTTTCAGCATCACTGGTTGCATCTTTTCATTCTCCTTTATTGGATTCTCCTCTTCTCTTGACTTCTCAGTGTTGGAGTATCTCAAGGATAAATCCTTGATGTACCCTCTTTTTAACCTGCACTCCTAGGTGATCTCTCCAGTCTCATGGTTGTGAATACTACATATATGTTGAAGAATCTTGGATCTTTACCTCCAGCCCAGAACTTTCTAACTAGATTTTGTTTGTCCAGCTCCACTAGTATGTCTAATAGTTATTTCAAGCTCATGTGTCCAAATGGAATTCCTGGTCACCCCTGCTTCCCCAGTCTACTCTATCCATATCCTTGGCTAGGTCTGTTGGCAGCAACTCCATTCCTTCTGGTTGCTCCAGGTCAACATCTTACTCCTTGCTTTCTCTCCTAGCCCTCATTCAGCTCATCAGGAGTCCTGTTGTCTTTGCCTTCAAAATACCTGTAGCATCTGAACTCTTTTTTTCCACAGTTCCACTGTCATTCCCCTAATCTAAACTGCCATCATCTCTTACCAGAATACTTCCTTTGGGCTGGGTCTTTCCACTTCCATCCTTGTTCCTCTAAAGTCTATTCTCAGCACAGTAGCCATGAGGACACTTTTCACATATGTCAAACCATGTTAATTCTTTGCTCAAAACCTTTAATGTCCCCTACATTACTTAGAATAAAACCCAGTGTCCTTAAATAGCCTGAGAACTTTTTATAGATGTGATCTCATCTCATCTTATTACGTATCAGACCTCAACTCGTGCTAATACTGTTCTCCGACTCACTTCACTCAAGCCATATTGACAACTGAGCTGTTTTTAAACATGCCAAGCAATCTCCTACCAGTGACTGTTCCCTCTACCTAGAATGCTGTTCCTTCAGAGGGCTACATAACTAGACCCTCAATGAAACCTTGCCTAACCACCTTATTTAAAATTGTAACTTCCCACATTCCTGATCCCCCTTAATCTTTTTTTCTTTTAACCCCAAACACTTATCATATTTAGACAAATTCTGTAATTTTCTGATTTATTAGGTTTACTGTCAGTCTCTCTCACCATAGGATGAAAACTCTAAGAGAGTTTTTTTTAATTTTTATTTTTTTTGTCTTAGTTTTTATTTTTTTCATTTATTTTTATTAGTTGGAGGCAAATTACTTTACAATATTGTAGTGGTTTTTGCCATACACTGACATTAATCAGCCATGGATTTACATGTGTTCTCCATCCCGATCCCCCCTCCTGCCTCCCTCCCCATCCCATCCCTCTGGGTCTTCCCAGTGCACCAGCCCTGAGCACTTGTGTCATGCATCCAACCTGGGCTGGTGATCTGTTTCACCCTAGATAGTATACATGTTTCGATGCTGTTCTCT